GAGATGTGAACTTGAAACTAGAATAATATCAATAATTACACCTAGTTTGAAAAATATGGAAAAGACTTACAATTTCTTCATTTCTAAGGGACATACAAATGAAAGTAAATGAGATATTTACATTAGAAATTACCTTCTATAGAGGGTTGTTTATTTTTGTTCTGTTTTGTCATCAGCATTTGCTCGTTCTGCACAACTGCTGAAGCATTTGTTTTGCCATGCTGTAAAATAAAACCTATCTTGGTCAAGCAAAAACAAAACAAGAGCATTGCAGCAATTAGAAGAGGTCTGTCCAGAAAAACACCCAGAAAAAGAAGAAATATTTAGAGAGTASGTATGAGACAGATCCACCAATGTATTTTTCTTTACTAATGATTTTTAATCTCATGAGTGGTATCAGGACCTAACTAGTACTGTTTTTTTTTCCTCTTCCATGTTTGGAGAATTTGTTACGCTTCCACCTTGAGTTAAAGCTTTTAAAATCACCTCTGCTATCTCATAAAGGTTTTGGGGGAGCTCTGATTTGTTCTTTTTCCCAACAGTCATATTTTTCATGTCCTCACACATSGCAAGCATGCAAAGAACTCCTCATCTTTACTTTTTGTTATGTAGCAGTTCGACAGCAATATCAGCTTTCAAGACCTCAGTTACATTGACGTTAGTGAGCAGAAGGTATGCCTTTGACCTCCATCATGACCTCCCCAAAATCAGCATGATTTGGGACCATATACATAATTTTCCCATACCATGACAAAAAAACAAACAAACAAACAAAAAAAAACTAGGCTATTTCTAACATTATCTGAGGTGACAGAGAATGAAGCCCTCCTGTCACCACTTCCATCATGCTGCTGATCATTATGCAGACACTTTATCTATGAAAACCACCTGACCTGTTTGACAACCTTCTGCAGAGCAATAACCAAACAGCAAATTAAGGGATACTGCAGGGCTCAGTTTTATGCCATCCCTCATCTCAACTTTCTAATGATTTCAGTGTATCAAGTAGCAGATGACAATATGAAGATGGCATTGCTCGCTGGGAGCACATTGATTTTTTAAAGACTGAGACAGGGAACTTAGTCTTGGCTTTTTAATTCATTCCTTAGCAACTCTGCTCTGATTGCCAGTGAGGCTAAATACCTTTATTTTTTTTAATTCCCCAGATGTGAGCATAAGCAGCATGATAAAAATCTCTTTCCTTTTGAGGTCARAGGAGAAAATGTTTGTTTGATGATTTTGGGGTGCTCTTTCACAAAAGCAGAAATGAGGTGAGCTTATATACTTGTTGCTGTTTTCTCCACAGAACTGTTCTGGTTTCAGTAWATGTGTCTCCATTCTGCCACACCACAGCACCTGTGAGGGCTTTGTAATTCAGTTTTTCAGGAAAGAGGAAAACAGTGATGCAAGTTCAGCAGGAAAGTGTGATTTGTTTTATTTAATGTATATGCTACCCCTGGTAGAGCTAAGGATGCCAGCAGCAGTACTGCCTTCCTTACTTTCCTAAGCAGAGCCCACAAACCAATTCCTGTTTCCCAGGAAACTACTGTGTTGCAATAATTAATGGCTTCTAGGTTGACATAGGAGATAGGAGTGTGAAACTCCTAAGCTCTGGCTTTGCTCTTCTCAAATAACTGTCATGTAAAAAGGAAAAACAAAACAAACCCAGGTAACTCTGAAATGGCTTCTCTTGATTTGTTGCAAAATAAAATGCGGCAAAATATCTGGATAAAATGTTTTTAATATCAATCTTGTAYTATTTATGAAAATACAACTAAAGGAAAAGTTTATTTAAAACCAAGACGGAAGCATGTTTCTGAAAATACGATGTTTGCRGTCTTTTTTTCCCTAAATTTCTTCTTTTTCTGAGGTGAGTGAAATAGTTTCCGTAACTTGTATGGACTTTTGTATGACTCAGACACATAACTTGCAGTGAAAGTGTACACTTTTTTCTGCCTATTGCTATTTGCATGAAGGAGTGCAATATTACTTTTCCATTACTGCTGCCTTAAGACAATTTAAAAAAAATTTCCTCTTGACAGCATCTCACACTTGAATGGCTATTTAGATTTCTTGTTATGCCATTTTGGGTTTTTTTTCTGCATTGCTTTAAGGAAAGATAATATGTTGTCTGTGTAACTGGCAAACAAGTTGCTCATTTTTGAGTTAGAGAAGAGTGATCCAGAGGTAAGAAACTTGTTCTTAATTGCAAAGTAATTGAAAAATGATAATACAGCAATTATTGAGAATGCTTTGCTCAGTTTGAATCAATTATTATTAGCCAGTTGCCAGACAGGGTTTCGCAAATTGAACTAAACAAAATAATTGCACTATGACTATGAAAATCATACTTGCAGCACCAGAGAGTAGCAAATTGCATTGCTGAGGAAGTAAATGTACAGTTATGCCTCAGTGGCTGTGAAGTGTCTCTGTGTTTGGAGGCAGTCCTATTTAGGAGCAATGCTTTTCCTATTTTTGAGTTCACATAGTTATGCATGCATTCTCTATGATGGAGAGGAGAAAATGTCCCTAAGGTCAGCYTCATTGTGCTGCATTAAGATGGAGGCCAATGAAAACGGATTAAAATGCTACTTAAATGGCAAATACATTTGCTCTAAAGTGTATTGGAATTGAAAATGGCTTTTTGTTCGTATTCTAGTTATTGTACCCATTAGACAATATGCTGTTCTTTTTTAAAAAAGGCTACTAGTAAATAGTGGTAGATTCATATGAATCACTTCTTATCTTTTTGTATTGCATTATGTATCATTCTACTTGCAACTTAGAATTAGCATTATTTGTCTTGAAAATCGCATTACCTTCATATCTATGACATTTTCCTCAAGAAATGAAAAAATATTGTTTGTAGTTATGCTGAAAAAAATAAAGGTCTATACTTCTATATAAGCTACTTTAACCTTATTTTAGTACTAATACATCTTACAGAATGTAATATCAGCATTATCAAATGTGTTCAAAAACAGAATCCACTGTTTTATGGGGAAGCTTTTCAATGCCACATACATTATATTGACTGAGTGAGTTGGGCCTGTTTAGCTTTGAAGAAGAGAAGACTGAGAGGGGATCTGATTAACATGTGTAAGTACTTGAAGGGAGAATGTAGGGAGGAAGGGGCTAAGCTCTTCTCATTGGTGACCAGCGACAGGACAAGGGGAAATGGGTACAAGTTGAAACACAGGCAGTTCCATCTCCAGGTGAGGAGGAACTTCTTCACTGTGAGGGTGAGAATGCCCTGGAACAGGCTGCCCAGGGAGGTTGTGGAGTCTCCTTCTAAGGAGGTCTTCAAAACCCACCTGGATGGGACCTTGTGCCCCATGCTGTAGGTATCCCTGCTGGAGCACGGGGGTTGGACTAGATGATCTCTAGAGGTCCCTTCCAACCTTAACCATTCTGTGATTCTGTGATTAGTCAGTCTTTTCCTTTTGGAAGTTCTCTACAATGTGTTGGTTCCTCTAGAAGTAGTAGGATGGCATGTTTTAAGTTAATTCACAGTTACTGTAGTAAGTAGAGTACACTTTGAGTCCTTAACTGAGTACTGGCAAACTGGGGAATTGGTGTGATTCTGGTATTTCCCTTGGGAATGTGACGTTTTTGAGTGTGTAGGGAAGGAGATTTCGGGGATGGTGCCTGGAGCAGAGAGGCATGTGGTGCTCAGGAACAGGATTTATTAGGCACCTGCCAAGGGGAAAGGGGAGGCCGGGAAAAGCCTTGCCAACAAGGGCCTTGGATGAGCCAGCTSTGCTACAAAGGGTGTGAAATGCTGAGCAGGGGCAGCAGCTGGAAAGGGGAAAGCTTTTTAGTTTGATTGAGGGTTGGGGAGTGGGGCGGGGGAAAGAAATCTCAGGTTACAATTTAAATGTAACAGGTAAGCAGMACTCTGTGTGGCTTGGCTTGGACTGATGGATGTCTTATCATGCTTCTCTGTTACCAGCAGTAGAAATTGGGCTAATATAAACCTGTATTTATTTTTTGCCTATTAATTATTGAGTAGAACCTGATGGGATGAACAAAAAAGATTGAGTGCAGTAAGGGCAGAACTTACAGATTTCCTTGGAAATGCTTTAATATTTGATGCTGAGTTTTTTGTGAACAAACGTATGGTTGCAGCAGGTATTAGCTGAAATGGCCAGGGAGAGGTACATGATCTCCCTTGCCTCTCCTGTGCCTGAAATGGCAGCCGTGCTTTTTGTTTCATGCTATACAGTACAGTAYGGACACCTCTGGCATGGGCCCCTTTCTCCTTTAGAAGCTGTGCAGCTGTGGTGAGGCGTTTARCCCCCAGGTGCAGAGTTTTCCCCCCACAGTTTATTTCTGCATTTTCAATTCCACATGATCAGCTTTCTGAGCACACCCCTGTCAGGGCTGCCGTCTTGTCTCTTGGCCKTGCTGCTTTGAAGCTTTGTCCCAAAGCCCTTGGGTATCCTGGTGTGGGTAGGGCCCAGCTGGGAGTGCCTCAGGCGGCCATTTTGTGGAGGGGTCCTACGACGTGGTAGCCATTTTGGGAGGGGCGCCCTGGGTGTGGCAGCCATTTTGTGGCGGCGTGGCGGCCATTTTGGGAGGGGCGCCCTGGGTGTGGCAGCCATTTTGCGGTGGCGTGGCGGCCATTTTGGAGGGTGGGGTGGAGGACGCCCCAGGTGTGGTAGCCCCTTGGAGGCGGTCATTTTCCAGAGGCAGCTGCCGCCCTGAGTTTGATCTCTGGGGCGACAGCGGCACCCTGGAGGCAGTGACCTGTGGTGAGTGCGTGGGGGACGGAGTGCCACTAATACGCAGAGAGCAGGCGTTGCTGTCGGGGCAAAGCCAYGAGGACCTGCTCCGTGCTGCCCCCCGTGGGGACGTGAGGCAGTGCGTGGGAAAGATGGCAGGTGGAGAGCAGGTGTTTCCCTTCCAGGGCTTCCTGGCCATGCTATCCTTGCACTCCCAACAGTCCTTTTGACATAAAAACACTACCGCTGTTTTCCAGACTACAGAAGAGAAATGTAGTGCAGAGGAGGGCTGGAGAGAYGATCGAAGCAGTTGGCACTATTTGACAGAAATGGTGCATGGGAGAACCTAAAAGGTAAAAGAAAATCTAAACAGTACTTTTTATTTCAGGATTTTATTTAATTATCTAAAATTCAAAAGAAATGAAAACAAATTTTCAAGTATTTTTTTTCTAACAAGCCTGTGTTCAATTTGATAAATTATGACTCAGAATGATTAGGCGAATGAGAGTAAAGACTACTGTAATAGCATAACAATATTAAAAAGGGAAATAAAATATTGTAATTTAGAACAAATAACAAATTGACCAAAACAAAGATAAAGCATAGAAGTATTCTTCAGAAATCCTATTCTGTCGCTTCCTTTCCCACTCCCTCCCTTCTCCCAAAAAGAAGATAAACAGGCATTTTATTTGGTGGAGAAACTGGTGCCTTCAATGGTGTTTACATTTTAATTTTACAAAAAGACTTATTAATAAGTGCAACCGTAATTTTGATCATTTTAAGAACTCACTTYAGGCAGCATGAAGACTCTTTGAATGCACAAAGGGGAAGGAAACCCGAGAGCCGAGAGAATAAATATAAGGTTTCTATATGTAAGAAAACGATGAAAGGAGGGAAGGCAGGTTCCTTGCTAGGAAGGCCCTTAACGTTTTTTTTGAAACTGGTGATAAAGATGTGGGACAGGATACCAGTGTAGGAAGAGAGGCAATGGCCAGGCAAGAGATAGCCAGGAAAAGGCCAGATGAGGGATGATGCTGAGCACAGGAATGGTTGCAGGAGGGTTGTGCCAAACTGGTGCAGAACATGGTGGTTGCTGCTTTCTTGGTTATTCCACATAATATTTTTTTGACCTTATGATACTCTAGCTTTCTAGACACTGCACTATGTATGTAATTTCCAGGTTAAACACCCTAAAAGAACAACTGAGCTGTCTGGACACTGTCACGCTCTTAACAGTGTCTGGAGTGAAGCGGAGTCCTATAGTGCCAGTAAAAGGTGAGAGCTCATCATGGTTCCGGGGCTGTCTCACTATTATTTTCCAAGAAGGGGAGAGAGTAGGACTCCCAYTGTCATGGGGGAAAATGATGCCCTGCTGCTTGCCAGGGAAGACTTTAATGCTCTCAGCTGGAAGTGTGTTCTCTCTAGCTTTAAGGGGCACCAGCTCCCTAGGATAAGTCTAAAATTCACTCACCACATGCAGAATCTCAGTAAATAGGATAAGCTAAAAAACAGAAAGGGAATAAAYGTGTTTTACTCTTCCAGGAACATCCCCTTTCCCACTACTTGAGCAGTTTCATTTGAATTTAAGGGAGGTTTTTCAGAAAACTCTTTAATCAGCTGCTATTTYTATGTGTTTAGGCAATTTCTCTTGCTGGATATACTGAACTTTATGGCTGCCTCTGAGAGGAAGAAAACAAATCTATTTTAATCACTTGATAGGTACAATCACATGATTTTAACATTATTTTAAATAGTACTTATCACAAGCRCTATGCTGAAAAGACACATTTCTTTCAATATGTTAATCTCCCTCAAGTCAACATTTCTTGTCTGGGTTCTTTACACTGTTGGTTATGTTTGTTGTTATGCAAAAGTGGAGCAGAAGAATAAGACAGAACAATAAAAGTTCTATGATCATCAACAGCTCTAGGACAGTTTAAGACTTGACAATCATAAAATGGAGTCTCCAGAGTAGAAATGTGTGAAATGTGACATATTTTATGATAAAAGARAACTTAATTTTAGGCGATGCATTTGCAACATGAGCAAGAGGATGGGATGGTGTGGTGTGGCATCTTTCCCCTTTCCTYTTAGCTCACCAACTTCACCAGTGATGCACGTTGAATAAGCTGAGCTAGAGCTTAAGTGACTCAGAATATAGATGAGCTTTCTGAATTGTGAGTATATCGCRTTTATGTTCCTGTCTTTACCAGCCAAGCTTGTAATCTTCCCCAAAGAAATGAGGCTTCTTGAACTCCATAGGACCCGCTCACAGAAAATGGGCTACAGAGACATGTGGAACAAATCTGCTTGAAAATTGAAATGTTGTGGAATGCTGTAAGTAGAAGAGACCTTGAGCCCAGTATAACTTTATCAGTTCTTTTGTATTTTTAACGTATCCATGCTGATTAATGTTGGTATTTTYTTTCTACATATACGGAGCATCTTGCTTAAGGAGTTTTATGACATTTTTGCAACCCCTCTTCTGAGGGCAATCCCTTTTGTCAAATTTCATTTGAAGCTTGGGTTTGGATCACTATATGGCCCCAGCCTAAGTTCATATCCCCTGCAAAGCAAGAAAGGTTTCCATTTTTGTCAAAAGGGATGTTGTTTGACTGCATTGCTGATCCTCATGAAGTTGAAAGATTAGAAAGTTGGATAAATTTGTCCTCCGTTACAAATATTTTTTTCCTATCCATTAAGCACCTGCAGTCTCGGACTGATCACAARCTACACTTTCTCACTTCTGTACTCTCCCTTTGTTTCCATGTAACTACTGAAAATGAGAACCTTTTTTATGAAACATGATATTTTACTGCAGATTTATTTAAAGTCCTTGTCTGAAAAAAAAAAATTATGCAACACAAAAACAAGTATGGGTATCTGAAAGCACAGCCACAAGGTAGGTTTTTCTTTCCTGCATGCTTATTTTATATTGATGTAAACTAAAAAATTCTCGTTCTCATGTCCTTTTCATCCCTTCAGCAATTAATGAAAATATAAAACTTCAGAATATAATTATTGTGTATATGTAACAGTCAGTACACATACCTAACATAAAGGTAATGTAAGAGTAGTGACTTTATCATTTCGTTTGCATATCTTTGTTCATGTGATTTATTAACATTGATTTGTTTACTGCTTGCATTTTTTTCTGCTTGTATTTGGTTTATTCTTCTCTGTGCAGTGTTAAGTAGCTAGAATTGTTGTTGCTAGTTCAGTTGCCTACTGAATACTTTCTTCTGAGATGAAAGTGTGCTTCAGCTGTGTAGCTATCAAAGAAGCATGTGATCCCGTCCTCATTGTGCAGAGGGAAAGCAGCTATTTCGATCTCTCTTTACACATCTGTCAGTGCATGGCTAACTTCCATGGAGTTTAGATTGTTTTTGAGCATGCTGCACATCAGTGTTAGTATAATGAGAAATGAAAAGGAATTAGCATGTAAGTTGGTCATCTCTTTTTATTGAGAAATAGAATAGTTTTTCTTCCTTCTGTATAAAGATTTCTACTAGAGAAGCAAAGAGAGAATGTGCACTATCAGTGCCAAAAATTCAGTTCATAATACTAGAAATATAGTCAACAAATGAACAACCCTATAAAAGTCTCCTTCCCCTTTAAGAAAAAGTCTCTAATTGCAGTATATGGGTGCAAATATTTAGCCTTTTAGGATATTTATTATTATTCCTGATTTATCAGAAATGAATGAGAGAAGTGTAAGATATTTGAGAAAAARCTAACACTTGACCATGGAATCAGTAACAAAAGCCTTAAACAGGAGTTATATTGTATGTTTCACTGAACTTAGATACATCTTCTGAGATCTGTGAGGGATAGTCATGAACTTAAGGACAGAATAGCTGCAGAAGTGCTTTGTGTGCTTTTGTTAATTCAAGAATAGAATGCTTTTAGTGTGATTTTTGTTTTTTGTTTCTCCATTATGATGTAGACTGCTGTTTACTGCTCTCTCATGAGACTCTATTTTTAAGTGGATATTTCATTGRATTAAAAGCAAAAAAGATGATTTTCCTTTCTAGAGAAAAGGTAACGTTCTCCCATGTGTATTGTTATGCTGACTTTCCAGGCAGAGAGGAGCAACAGGGGAATTGTTAGTCTGCACGTTCACTTTAAAACCTGCCTGCAACCACTAAATTTTTTAATATGTTCTAGCCTGATCCCGCTGTGCACTTTTTGACAACACTCTGGATACAGTTGTGTCTCCGTGAGTGCTTGGAATTGCAAGTTCAACCTTTTTTTTGCACACAGTAAGCCAAAACTTCCTTTCCTTTCAGTGTTGTAGCAATCAAAGGCACGTTACTGCACTACGCGTGACAAGGGCCATCATTTGTTTTAAACATGGTGGGTGTCAGACTTAGAGCATCGAAGGTTCTCTCTGTGTGGCAAGACRCACCATAAGCTCAAGGTGTTGTAGCTTTACATGCCATGTTAATACAGTTATATTGTCCAAGCCAGGTCATTCAGAGCTCTGTTGACTTGACACTGCTGTGTTCATATGCACTGAGATAAAAAGAAGTCTTGCAGAATATAATGTCACCCAGAAATTTTTTTTAGCTTGTCATTTGTCTACATAATGTTTTTCAACCTATACAACATAACAATAAGGAAGGAAGAGCTCATCCCATTTCACAGATTGAGGTGTGGAAAAATGAACTCAAGGCCATAATGTCTGTTGTGGATCTGAGAACTGAATGCTTTTGAGTCCGTGGTTTTCTATCGGCGTCTGCCTTGGCTGCTGTCTGAGAGAGTGCTTGGCTTCTGTCACAGAGCCGGGAGTTGAACTGAGACCACATGTGTACGTGAGTCTGCGTCTTCCTCAGCTCTAATGAGCTCTGCACTTAATTGCTCCTTTGAGGAGCCATGTTAGCTTAGATTACAGAAGAATTGTAACTGATAAGAATAAGCAATTTGGAAATGATTCTGTAAGTCTACAGAGTGGCAGAGAAGGTAAGTGTACTCTACTGAACAGCTCTCAATTTCTGCAGTAAATCTAAGAAAACCTCCAACCACGTTGAAGTAGTTCAAAAGCYTACAAAAAATCCCTTCCTGTTAACTTCTGTGGGTGTTTTTTTTTCATAAAGATTTGTTTTCTTAACCTTTTTGTTGCTGTCAGTGGACTTTAAAGTGAAGATATTTAGCAAATGTTAACGACTGCAAAATCTAAGCAGTCTTAAATAGTTGTACCTGTTGGAATACATAGAAAAATACCTTGGATACAGAGAAAAGTATCTCAGAATGAACAGGGAAGTAAATTCAAGAGTTTTTGATGCCATGGAGTGAAATGAAGGCTGTGGAGATGGTCTGGTGTTCCTGCCTTCAATCCCTTCAGTAATAAAGGGGCAAGAAAAACAAATTAACGTGAGACACACTTCCTTGTTAACACTGTGYTACCGAGTTTGCTAAACATGCTTGGAAACCAAAGCAATAAAGGACATCAAGATTGGGACCAAGGAGGTGCAGAATGGGAATTAGGCTCCTTGTCTGCTCATGCTGAATATTTTTCAGAGATGGTAACRTCAGTGTTTCATAATATTAAGTCGTATCAGTGGCAAGGAAACCAATGAGCATATGTGATGATTATTTTATGTAAGGGACTTCAAAAGTCTTGAAAATTTTTAGGTGCTTAACTTTGGAAAATATTTTGAGTCAGAAGTTCAAAGATTTGCTTAACCCCTTCAATAGACGCATGTCTTTCAGGAAAGATGATTTAGACTTTCTTTTTTAAAAGACACGAAGACATTGGCACACGCAGGGAGCCATCTTCTGTTGGTGCTTGCRCAGCATGCCTGCGTTGCAGTCAGTGCAGGCATGTCTGCTGTAGACTACTGGAGTTAGCCTAAGAACAGAGACCCCTGTGGCTTTCTGCTTGTGTTCAGAAATGGGAAATTTGGTCTTTAGCATCAGTTATTCTTCCTTTCAACTTCTTTAAAAGGAAATCTGGATGTTTTATGGTTATCTGATGTGACTATTTAAAGTAATTCTATAAAGAAACTCAAGACACAACTAGTATCCCAGCATGTACTAAATTTGGCATATGGTTTGCATTTCCTTTGGGCTTCATTATTATTTCATGAAGGAAGGGATAATTCTGTGCGYATGGAATTCAGAGGGCTTAATTGCAGTCTTAGAAAAAAAATATAGTAATCTAGAATATTTTAAAATATATTAAAATGTTACCTCATCTTTTCATTTCTGGCTGGTAAGTCTGCCTTTTTGTTTTGTTTTCTCCAGCAAGTCCCTGAAAATTGAAATAGGCTGAAGTAAGCCAACTATAAAACATACACGGACATTCATTGATAGTGCTCCCTGTACGCTACTCAGTCAAAAAGATAATAGAAATGCTTCACAATGTAACCTGAAGATTTTTTTTTCTGACCCTTTGCCATTTAGGAATTGCCCAGCCTCTGTGATAGTTGTCCATTTATCTTTCACATTTCTCTGTAGGTTGTTATATTACTTTTTTTTAGTACATAACATAGTACCCTTTATGTGTATAATGGAGATTTTTTGACAGTTTCGTATATATTGAAATCTTTTCATGGGGAAATGATTTAGTATAGGGGATTTTATGTTGTTTGGATCAAAATTGAACATATACTTTTGATCTGTTTTGTGTCCAGCACTATGAAAAAGAATTCTCTCCAAAATGTCAAAAACCTTTGCTGTCAGCTCTATATTTTCTTTTTTTCTTTCATTTTTGATACAGTTTTTTTTGTTGAGTTAAAGAATTCTATTACTTCACAGCATCTTTATAGTGGAGAGCATTCAGTTTGCCCTGAAAAAGTTTTGCAGACTGTGCCAGATGAGGAGAATCAATATGGGAAGGAAATGACAAGGTTGGTTAATGTGCTTACCTGAGGCTCTGCTGGGAGTGGTTCAGTACGGGCGCTTTGGCAAGGGTGCCGTGGCGTGTGTGGTGAGAAGAGCAAGAGCACATGCCTGAGTCTCTGCAGGTTGGTCACAGGCTCGCTGGAGGATCATAGGTGTAAGACATATAGATATATAGGTCCTTCTGTTATTCAGGTCACAGTAGAGCATAGTGACAAAAAGTCTAATATTGCTGAGAACTACTTTCTGAAATGTATTCATTGTGTGCTCTTACTTTGTGCTGTATTATCTGTTATCCAGAAGGGATCCAGAATTACAAATCCTCTTGAAGATGTCTAGGGTAGTAAAAAGTACAGCTGTACTGGGGAAAAAAGGCTTATTTCTACCTCTGTGCTTCTACCACGTGCTGGTTTTGTAGTCTGCAAAAAGTCTTAACATGTCCAACTCTTTGGCCTTGCTCTTGTGCATCACCTGAATGCATCAAGTGCATTCAA